GAAATTGATTGCAGTTTTTCATCTCACCCTGTATGTTAAGATTCCAATAGATTTGGGAGACCATATACAGGGTTGCCCATATTCGACGGACCTTTGGGCCCATTCCAATCGACGAGGCTTGTCCGCAGGCAACATTCTTTGTGTCAATTGAATTTTGTACGAGAACAAATGCAAATCAATACGAATAATCCGTTGTAAAGTGGACCGAGCCATGCCCCACTGCTGAGAACGGCGTTTTTGGGATGTTCTTGGGGACCTCTCAACACTGGCTCGTACGGCAGCGATATTCTCGGCCGCGGCCGATCGCCTTGGTCGACTTTTGTATGGCCTCTTTGGATTAGAAAGAGCCTTACCAGTCGAAAATTTTTCGTATAAACGCTTAATGGTGTTCTTAGATGGCGCACTTCTCACATTTTTTTATGTTTTAAAAGCACGTTGAGTTTTCACAATTGACTTCTTCTGTTGAATGTAAATTTCAACTATTTCAGAGAGCTCGCGTGGCGTGTATTGGTTCATGGTAAAAATCTGCTTGGACTGACGCTTCAAACGCGGTATGTCATTAAGCGATGTGACATCTCTGTCAAAAGTTATGGCGTTGCCAGATGGGTCCGTCGAATATGGGCAACCCTGTATACGCCAAATCTTTAGTATACCTTTACTGAAGACAACAGAGATTCATATGAATCACCTTCCTACTTACCCAGTTTATATGTTCCATATGTTCTGAATAACCCCTCATATCTCCTCTGGATACAAAAAAAGTCTGTTTCTAAACTTTGTCTGACATCTTATGACTGAACATTTCACATTCAAATTCGAGTGCATTCAATCTACTTGAAATGCAATTCTTCCGAATACTTTATTGTGAAGAATTCTGTGGTGTTTCAACAGCACACTGAACGCACGCACACACAAACAGACAGACATAATTTCATTCACCTACCATTTCTCACCTCATCTCATCTCTCTCGGATCTCGTATAACTTGATTTCGTTAACCTTATCCAATTGAATGAATAAGATGAATGAATGAAATCGTGTCATATGGCCACATTTTCTTCTTCTGCTTTTTTTTTGTGGAATATCAGAGGCAACAACACATCATCTCTGTTTTAGAGGTGGGAGAGAGGGAGAAATGGTATGAAGAGAGCAAAACTGAATTTGAATACCTCCTTTTGAAATGCAATCATCTGATAATTGCATTATAAAGGTTAAACTCACTTTTGAGTATTGAAATGAACCGAGACGAATTGAACACAGGGCGAACAATGTGAGCCGAGCAGAAAAACTGAAAAATTACAAACCTAAAGTAAGATGACTCTCCTCATCTTTCAAGAGGCATCTGGATTTACTGCGTGTTTGGGTCAGGTTGGTGTTGCTATTGCGATTGTTGTTGATGTTATTGTTGTTGTTGTTTACAACTTTGATTTCAATTTCAAGAGAGCATTGTTCTGCAATTTGTATTGTGTTTTTTATTTTTTTTTCTTTCTTCTTCTTCAAGGTAGTTGTGTTTGTGCGTTTCAATTCGAAACAATAAAAGTAATATTTATTATTTATAAGAACACAGCGTGACAATTAGATAATTGAAAGAAATCCATTTCCAAGAATCATTCAATAAATTAGAAAAAACCATGTTAAAATACTCTTCAGAGGCCAAAAATAGCCATAATTGTGTAGCTCAGCCATTCCAAAGAAGCCAAACAATCAATTTCACAAAAAGAAGGTGTTTTGTGTCACGTTCGGGATGAAGAGAGAAACAAGTTCGTGACTTCGATAAAAATCATTTAAATGTCCATTAATTATTTACATACACCGTAAGAACTGAGATTTTTTTCTTAAATAAAAAAGCAAATTAATCTCGTTATATTGCATCCGTTGGTTTGTCGACGTATGTATACTGTTATATCCGGTGATTTTATAGGAATATTTATGAAAAAAAAAAATAATTAAATACAGTGTGAGATGAAAAAACTGCAACCAACTTCAGACTGCTGTCAATTCTAAACCACTCGTCCGCAAGCTGATGAAATTATTCCAGTGATAGCTCATTATGTTGTTCAGAAGCGTACAAAATAATTTTGGTGAGAATTTTCCAGAAGAAGTCATTCGTAATAAGGAAGTGGACGAAAGAAAACATCAACATCAGCAGAAATGGTTCGAAAAGTAAAGAAGCGACTTGATCGAAACCCGCTTTGCAGTGGCCGAAAACTGGCTCGTGAGCTGAACATATCACAATATTCCATTCGGCAAATATTTAAAAATTAACTAAAAATTAACTAAAGTCATTGAAATTCCAAAAAGCGCAATAACTTACACCACAACAGAAAGAAAATAGACTCGAAAGAGCTAAAGAGTTGCTTCGCTCGGCGGAAAGTGGTGAACTACCGAATTTGGTTTTCTCCGATGAGAAAACATTCGTTGTCTAGCAGTTTTTTTTAACAAATGAAATGATCGTGTTTACTTGACAAAGAGGTCAGCTGAAAATGCGCACTTTCGGTTGGCCACCAGAACTCAAGCGCCGGCCATGGCGATGGTGTGAGCCGCCATAACAGCCACAGCTACTGCCAATACCAACTTAACTAACATTTAGCATAGCCAAAACTATTTACATCTCTCCATCCTAAACACCAACAGTGATCCAAAATAAGTACCATTTAGTACTTCTAATACAGATCTCAGCACCAGACACCAAAAGAGTACACATATCCGAAACCACCCATAGTACATAATACATGTCCGAAACCACCTCCATATCTTAACCACAGACACCAAAAGAAACCTCAACATCGGACTTCGAGATTCAAGCTCTATTCCTTTACCCAATACCAAATTCAGTATAATCTACAACTTTTCGTATAATATTATTACTTATTTTCTAAACGGTTATATTTCTCAATCCAAGACACCAGCAGTTATCGTAATATAAATTTTCACGGTTTGAGATTTATCCCTTCACTCAATACCCAATTTAGTACTAAATACTTTTCGTAAAAATATAATACACATTTCCAAAACCACCTCTGTATCTCATTTTCAGATACCAAAAGAGACTGCTGTATCAAATTTTATGATTCCAGAATTTACCACCATTTACAACCATTTAGTACTTTTCGAACAATTAGTATGCATGTGCAAAACCACCACCAGATACCAAAAGGGACCTCAACATCAAATTTTAAGATTTCAGCTCTATCGCTTTACCGAACATCCAAATTGGTATCACTTAGTACTTTTCGACCCTTGTAGTACACATTTCCAAAACAACCTCCAGATTCAAATTTCAAATAACAACAGAGACTTCAATGTCAAATTTGGGGATTACAGTCTTATCCCTTCAACGAATACCACATTTAACATTATTTAGTACTTCTCGTGCAAATACGGGGCACATTTCAAAAACCACACCTGTCTCCTAACACAGATACCAACAAATACCTAAATATTAAACTTCGGGATCCCAGCTCTATATCTTCAATCAATACCAATTTAGTAATATTTAGTACTTTTCGTAATTATGGTAAACATTTCCAAAACCACTTCCATATCTCAATTTCAGATATCAAAATTGACATCCATATCAAATTTGAGGTTTCCAGCCATATCCCTTCACCCAATACCATATCTAGTACTGACATCAACAGTGACATCCATAAAAAATTGAGGATTTCAGCCCTATCGCTTCACTCAATACCAAATTAAGTAGCATTTAGCCCTTTTCGAACAAATATAGAAGTATTTTCAAAACAATCTTCATATCTCAACCTCAGATGCCAACAGTGGCCTTAATATTATATGTCAGAATTTCAGCTCTATTGCTTTACCCAATACCAAATTTAGTACCACTTAGTACTTTTCGAACATTTATAGGACGTATTTTCGAACAACAGCCAAATTTGGTAAGGGGGAATCAAATTTAGTACAATTATAGTGCGGATATCCAAAAGTAGCTCCCTCCCACCCACAGACACCAACACTGACATCCATATTAAATTTCAGGATTTCAACTTTATTCCATCACCCAATTTAGTACCATTTAAAGAGTTGCTTCGCTTGACCGAATGTGGTGAACTGCCGAATTTGGTTTTCTCCGATGAGAAAACATTCATTGTCCAGCAGTTTGCAAGCGAACAAAATGATCGTGTTTACTTGCCAAAGAGGTCAGCTAAAAATGTGCACCTTCGGTTGGCCACCAAAATTCAAGCGCCGGCCATGGTGATGGTGTGGCCATAACAGCCGATGGTGACTGTCCGCTCGTATTAATCGACCGTAACATCAGAATAAATGCGAAAATATTCTGGAGGGTGTATTAAATTCCTGGGTATCGCGCCACCCAAGAATGGTTACAATATGAGGTTTCTCGCTTCATTTCCAGCGCGCAATGACCACCAAAATCTCCAGATACCAATCCGTTGGACTATTGTGTCTGGAGTATTTTGGAAAGCAAGGTTGCCACTAAAAAGTGCCAAAATGTCGATCACCTCAAGCAAGCGCTTTGCCGGGAATAGGCCAAAATACCGCAGAGCAACATTCGGGCAGCGCGTGATGGTTTCATTGGCCATTTGGAAGCCATAATTAATGCCAATTCGAGCAAATCTAAACTTATTCTAAAATTTTATGCTATTTTCGACATTTTTTGCTTTCAATAAAATTTAATAAAAAGTAAAAATTATGTCATTTGACTTTGTTGCAGTTATTTTTATCTCATCCAATATAGTTCAATCCTGTCACAATATTTATATCATATTTATTTAGTTCCGATATGAAATAGACAATATTCGTTTATTCCTTCGGAACCCACGCCATAGAGGTCAACAGTTTAAATAATAATAACAGAAGTCAAACTATTTTCGAACAATAGAACATTGGCTGGGGGCATACATCTGTCGGCAAAAGCGACTGATACTTTTTAACTTGTTTATTTTATATAACAAACTCTAGCATTGAAAAGACATTTTCTAAATAATTTAATCAATACTAAGTTTATTCTTCTTATTTTTTCAGATTTATAACTGCAAAAGTATTAAGATTTAAAGGTAAGTTCATATTCTTAATAATTTTGCATTATAATATGAAATTATTTCATTAGTCCGATTCATGAGTTATTCCAGCTATCGGCTAACTTCAATACTCTTTGATATTATGCTCTCATAATTACGATATGGATATAATTACTCCCACATATACGAGTATGCATACAAAAATTAAGGAGAATCTGAATGAAGTCAATCCACAACCCATAAGCGTGTATTTGCAAAACAATTAATCTATTTTAAAAATTCATAATGACACGCTTATGACGTATGAAAAAAGTTCTGTAAACACTTTGCATTATTCATTATGAATACATATGATATGCGTATGTATATCTTCATTATGAATATTGTTAATTAATAAACAAACATATTGGCAAGTGTCAATGTTATGTGATTAATGGCTACTTCTTGCGTTTTAATTTTAAAACAATGTGATTAATAATCTAAAAGTCATTTGAGGTGACATTGCTAAAATGGCATTAACGTATGCTCGTGTTACATTTTAATGAACGTCAATTGTGGATATTAACTAATACAATTTTTTTATAAGGAAACAGGATCAATGTTGGAGGAGCAGAAAAAGCATTTAAACAGTACAGCCCTTCCAAATTTCTAAAAGAGAATATGGTTAGGTCACCATTCAATGACAATTACATTTTCTCGTTTACAAAATTCAATAAAAAAAACGAATCTACGATGGGCTAAGCTTTACATACAGAAGCTGACAGGAATATATTTTGCGAATCTGGGATTTTGCGAATTCGTACTAAACGGGGTTTTAAAGATACTAAAATACATATATATACAGGGTGAAATAAAACTAGTTAAAAAGTAGTAAGTTCGGACGGGCCAAACTTTGAATACCCTCCACCATTTGGAACGAATTTGGAAATTTTCAGAAAATAAAATCATTAAAACATTATGTTAAAATTCTAAAAATACCAAATATAGCCGTTATATAGAGGTGTATACGACATGGGCCTACATAGGCATTGTTTGTCATAAGCCATTACCATATTCAAATTCGAAACTTGAAATAAACGGTGAATAATGTAGCTAACATCATCAAAATATCGTATATAGGGAGGTACCGTTATATCGGAGCTGTGCGAAGACCTGGACCTTCAGAGACAATTTTCTTTCACAGGCTGTAGCATCCATTACGAACTTCAAATACCACATCTCAAACAATTTCGGTGGTTATTGCACCTAAAATCGTCAAAATGCCGAATATAGGGATGTACTGATATATGGGGCCTATACGAAGACCTGGACTTGCACAGACAATTTTCGGTCTTAGGGTGTGGTATCCACTTCGAACATCAAATACCAAATTTGAAGCAATTCCGGTGAATAGTGTCGCTAAAATCATCAAAATACCGAATATCGGGAGGTATTGTTATAGGGGGGGCTATATGAAAACGTGGACCATTCACGAACTTAACCTGCCTACTGGAAAACTAAATATGTGTGCAAAATTTTAGCCATCTATCTCAAATCATTCGAAAGATAGCGTGATTACAACAGACAGACGGACAGACAGACAGACAGACTGACAGACAGAATTAGAATTGGACACCTGTGGCACGAATTATGACCTTCAAACGGTCAATGAAACCGTCACACGCTGCTCGATGGTGGCTCTGTGGTATTTTGACCCATTCCCTGTCGAAGCCAACCTTGTTTCCAAAATACTTCAGACACAATAGTCCAACGGATTGGTATCCGGAGATTTTGGGTGCCATGGTGCGCTGGAAATGAAGTGAGGAACCTCATTTTGTAACCATTCTTGGGTAACGCGTGCTGAGTGCGATGGTGCAGAGTCCTGTTGGAATGTCCAAGATCTTCGGCCAAAATGTTTGTGTGCCCAAGGCTTTAATACACCTTTCAGAATATTTTCGCTATAATATTCGGCATTTATTCTGATGCCACGGTCGATTAATACGAGCAGAGAGCGACCATCGGCTTTTATGGCGGCCCACACCATCACCATGGCCATCGCTTGAGTTCTGGTGGCCATCCGAAGGTGAACAATTTCAGCTGACCTCTTTGGTAAGTTGTTTACAACCTGCTGGACAACGAAATTGCTGCAGTTCACCAGTTACGGCCAAGCGAAGCAACTCTTTAGCCATTTTGAGTCTATTTTCTTTCTGTTGCGGTGTAAGTTCTTGCACTTTTTGGAATTCCAATGGCTTTGCCCCGAGCTTATTTTTCAATATTTTCCGAATGGAATATTGCGATATGTTCAGCTCACGAGCCATTTTTCGGCCACTGCGACGCGGATTTCGATCAAGTCGCTTCTTTACTTTTCGAACCATTTCTGCTGATTCTTGCGGTTTTCTTCCGTCCACTTCCTTGACGCCGAGCCGCGCTACCAGTATCACTGTAACGAGCGATGATACGAAATAGAAAAGATTTATTCACATTTAAATGCTGGAGTGCCCTAACGATAGCCACTTGTGATTTTCCAGCCAAATATAAATAAATCAATATCACGCTTGAACTCCATCACGAATAACCTTTTTTCTGGAAAACCTCTCACCAAAATGCTTTTGTACGCTTGTAAACAATATAATGAGCTGTCACTGGAAAAATCATAACAGCTGTCGGACAAGTGGCTTAGAAATGACAGCAGTCTCAAGTTGGTTGAAGTTTTTTCATCTCACCCTGCATGTATTCATAGGATGTGGTTCCACCAACATACTGTTACATTCTAGGTTTTTTCCAATTATTCAAGGAAGCTAATAAATTAAGGAAATAAAAGAATTTTATATCCCTCATTAATTCAACATGTTTTTTACAATCCATCAGTTAATCAAATAAATCACTCTTCATATCTCCTATACATATTATGTTGTTTAATTGTTTTTTTTTTTATTACAAAATTGACATTCAATATTTAACGACAGTGACATCCGACCGTCATTAATCATTCTAATGTTATCGTTGAATTGACGCACATTGTAATTAAGTAAATTAAATGTAGTGGAAACCGAAACCCCATTTAAAAAATGTCAAAGATTTCATTGGGCTATCTGAGCGTATGAACAACATTGACCATACTCATAATCTCACTCATACGCCTTCAAGCAACCTCAAACATAATATGTACATATATCGTCAACATTTCCTGTTTCCTCCTTCCTCTAATTTTGTACCACTTTTCTGGGTCAACAATAATCTATTTCAATTAATTATTTTTATGACACATCCCAACCACAGTAACAAAATAATGTTTAATCTTTTGCACATGCACTGCCAGTGGGTGTACTAGTCAAGTTGTCGCAAGTCAAATTATAATTCGAGTCCACTTGAAACAAAGCATAATAAACGAATTGCAATTCTTCAACGATGACATTAACTACCGCTGCTGCTGCTGTTGGTGTCGGTGGTGCTGAAAAATAGATTGTCATCCATTCACTTGTTCTTCTTCTGGTTTTAGTGGAGATCTCGACCGGGGCGAAAACATGAAGACATGAAAATGTTGTTGTCATTGTACGATTACATTACCACGAGTGATTTATGTGACACGGGTTGTCATAAACTTTTAGTGGCTGTAATAAAACTAGTAGCTGGTATTAAGTCTGTGACAATCACATTAAAATTTGTTAAATGTTTTCGTTATATTTTTGTCAGAAAATTCGAGGCTTTTTAAATATTTTTTTTCCTTTAGATTCGTCCTGAATCAAAAAAAAAAGAAAAACACAATGACCGCACATTGCTTGCACATATCAGTTCTAAGTCTATGTCTAATTATAAAGGTATATTTATACAAACCATATTTAAACCCTGAGGTATGGTTTTATTATTTACAAAAATCAGTGAATTTTCCTAAAAAATCACAATTTGACAGGGAGTCCTTATAAAATCGTCAATAAAATTAATCATTTATACAAAATGTTTCCTTCATTTTTCATATATACAGGGTGAGATGAAAAAACTACAACCATCTTCAGACTGCTGTCATTTCTAAGCCACTCGTCCGACAGCTGCTAAAGTTATTCCAGTGACAGCTCATTATATTGTTTACAAGCGTACAAAAGCATTTTGCTGAGAATTTTCTAGAAAAAAGGTTATTCGTGATGGAATTTAAGCGTGATAGTGTAATTTCTTTATATTTGGCTGGAGAACCACAAGTGGCTATCGTTAGAACACTCCAGCATTTAAATGTGAATACATCTTTTGTATGTCGTACCATCACTCGTTACCATGATACTGGAAGCGTAACCCGACGTCAAGGAATTGGACATGGACAGAAGAAAACAGCAACATCAGCAGAAATGGTTCGAAAAGTTAAGAAGCGACTTGATCCAAACCCGCTTCGCAATGGCTGAAAAATGGCTCGTGAGCTGAACATATCGCAATATTTTATTCGGCAAATATTGAAAAATGAAATGAAATAAAGCTATTGAAATTCCAAAAAGTTCAAGAAATTACACCTCACAGAAAGAAAATAGACCCAAAAGAACTAAAGAGTTGCTTCGCTTGGCCGAAAGTGGTGAACTGCCGAATTTGGTTTTCTCCGATGAAAAAACATTCGTTGTCCACCAGTTTGTAAACAAACAAAATGATCGTGTTTACTTGCCAAAGAGGTCAGCTGAAAATGTGCACCTTCGGTTGGCTACCAGAACTCATGCGCCGGCCATGGTGATGGTGTGAGGCGCCATATCAGCCGATGATCGCTCTCCGCTAGTATTAATCGACTGTGGCATCAGAATAAATGCCGGATATTATGGTGAAAATATTCTGGAGAGTACAGTAAAGCCTTGGGCATGCAAACATTTTGGCCGCCGACCTTGGACATTCCAACGGGAATCCGCACCATCGCACTCAGCACGCGCCACCCAAGAATGATTACAAAATGAGGTTCCTCGCTTCATTTCCAGCGCACAATGGCCACCAAAATCTCCGGATACCAATCCGTTGGACTATTGTGTCTGGAGTATTTTGGAAAGCAAGGTTGGCACTAGGAATATCAAAGTGTCGTTCACCTCAAGCAA